TAACAGTTTTTCCAATTGTATGGACGTTCACTCTTTCAGCGACTCCTTCCTAAATCATACACATGACACCCAACGGACTCTAAAATAAAATACCGAGTTCTGATTTTTGCACACTTCACTTTTATTAAATTACTCACAGTATCGCACCATCGTGATCGTGAAATACACAACATAATAATAGGAAGGGTCGTGACACATCTTGGCTAGCTCAAATAACAATTAGATCCTTGTACAATAGACGAAGGCAAATAAATGTAGAACTCACTAACTCCTCTCTCTCTTTCTTTTTCTCTCTCTCTCTCTCTCTCTCTCTCTCTCTCTCTCTCTCTCTCTCTCTCTCTCTCTCTCTCTCTCTCTCTCTCTTTCTCTCTCTCTCTCTCTCTTTCCCTCTCTCGTTTTCTCTCTCTCTTTTTGCAAAGACACATGTCTCTCATCCAAAATCTCGTGTTCCTCCCTCGTATTATAGCTTAATCTAACTACAGAGAGGATACAGGAGGGATCAATGAGAAATGAGAGAAACTATATAACTATTCAATAGTGTCAGAGTTCATTTATTTTTTTTTCAAAATAGCTTCAGGGAAGTTTCTTGTAAGGATTTTCATCATAGCTTAATTTTTACGAAATTGATTTTTTTTAATAGCTTTTTAAAAGCAATCTTCAGAGAAGTATTGAAAAAATGTCGAAGAAGAAAAGCAAGAAATAAGGATACATTGTTTAATATATATGTGAAGAGGAAATGGTTTCTGTTTTTTAATTTGCTAAAAAGATGAATACCAACGTTTTATTTTATATATATAAATATATAAATATATATATATATATATAAATATATATATATATATATATATATCTTACTTTATATATACTTAAAGAACTTAAATTTATTAGAAATGTAAGTTCTTTAAGTATATATAAAGTAAGATTTATGTTTTTCCTGTGCAGTGTAATTTATATTTTTACGTATGAAATTGCGTGTTCTTTATGTTGACTTTTTATAGGTTTAAAAATGCCAATCCGACACTAGAGTGAATATTGCTTTTTATCTTTTTTTTTGGCACAAAGGGGATTTGTTACATACATCATCGGCAAAGTCGTACTTAATAAAAATCAGTTTCCCCACACAAAATAGCTTTCTTATTTTTTTTAATGCTGCTGTATTGTCCCATATAATAGAATAAAAAAGAAGATGGCGCTTTATTTTATGGACCCTAAGCTTCATTCAATTCAATTCCCCAGACCAGAGGAATTAGAGAACAATTGTTTAAAAATAGCAACCAAATTTTTAGAGTGATCTTTCTCATAATTTTTTTTTAAGGCTGCAACTATTCGTACCCGGGTACCAGAGGTGAGAGTTTGGGATTAAAAAAAAACTATTTAAAATATTATTGTTGGGTTTGTAAGACAAAATGAGGTATCAAATGAAAGATAATTGAATGGACTATATGTTTTTAAACTTAAATCTTCAGTTTAACTAAAATAAACTACCAAAAATGACATCCGAATAGCTTGAGTCTAATGGTACCCGGGTGCGAAAGGCGGCGCTACGTGTCTGGGTCCATTTGACTTATTCGGATGTCAACTCAACATTATATGTTCTTCTTAATCTAACTCAACATTATATGTTCTTCTTAATCTAACTCAACATTATATGTTCTTCTTAATCTAACTCAACATTATATGTTCTTCTTAATCTAGCTCAACATTATATGTTCTTCTTAATCTAACTCAACATTATATGTTCTTCTTAATCTAACTCAACATTATATGTTCTTCTTAATCTAACTCAACATTATATGTTCTTCTTAATCTAACTCAACATTATATGTTCTTCTGAATCTAACTCAACATTATATGTTCTTCTGAATCTAACTCAACATTATATGTTCTTCTTAATCTAACTCAACATTATATGTTCTTCTGAATCTAACTCAACATTATATGTTCTTCTGAATCTAACTCAACATTATATGTTCTTCTGAATCTAACTCAACATTATATGTTCTTCTGAATCTAACTCAACATTATATGTTCTTCTTAATCTAACTCAACATTATATGTTCTTCTTAATCTAACTCAACATTATATGTTCTTCTTAATCTAACTCAACATTATATGTTCTTCTTAATCTAACTCAACATTATATGTTCTTCTGAATCTTAATCATCATTTTATTTTCTTCTGGCTTTCAGCTTTACTTTTTATTTTTAAATGTCAGTTATTTAAGCTTTTTGTCAGTTTTCGTTTTTTTTTTCAAAAAACCAATATTGATTTATAAACATTAAACAAATAACTTCTGAATTTAGAATTATCACAGCCACTAAAGTTACAAGAGAAGTCTGGTCGCCGGAATAATGATAAAAGGGTTTACAAAGAAACACGTGCAGATACATAGGGCACTTTGATCACTACTGACGGCCCCCGCGGAAAATAAAACCCGCTCAGGACCCAACGAGACAGAACAATTAGCGAAAAAGGAATCTTACAACGCAGACTGCTCCAAAAAGAGACACCGATGGAGTCAAGTGCAGCGACTTGCAAATTATTTCAAGCACAGTCAACGCGTGAGTACTGAACGGATGAATTAATGTCTCCACACAGACCGTAGTAGTCAAACTTTACATTCAGATTCATAAAGCAACTCTGCAGTCCTGTCTCACACAGTTCATTCAATGACCATGAAAATCTGACACTACGTGTTTAGTTTTAGAATCATTAAATTATAATAAACCTATGATCTCTCAGATGTATTACTGTGCATAATAATTTTAATTAAATTCTATGGTTAGAAATAAAAAAAATATATAGTTATGCTTCAGCCATCAATGAAGTTTATAATATCTAAAACAATGAATAACCATCAAAGAAGTTTAAAAATTGTTCTTAATGGATAGCATACACAAAAGTATGAAATTAATGAAATTGTTTTCTCTCTTCTCTGCCGGTTCAATGCACTTGCGAAAAGTGATCCTCAAGAGATACAATGGAAGAGAAATGGCGGCTAGAATACAAACTTCTTGTTAGACATTAAACATATTCAGAAAGTAGTCGTAAGTTTAAATAAATTAGTTTTGCAAAATCAAATAAGAGCTATGTAAAAAAAAACAAGCAACATATTCTTCTTTTTTTTTTATTGATTTTTTTTATATAATTAATTGTTTTCAACTATTTTTTTTTTTTAAATAGAAAGTAAATAATTTTAAGTTAGTTTATTTTTAAAAATAACTTGAATAATAAATATATATATAAATATATTTTCAAATAATAAATCTATTTTATTTGATGATGGTGTCAAATCCTGTACGGCTTCATCAAGTACCGGCTCTTGGTATGCATTGTCAAGGAAATGAGAATCACTGTTGTTAGTGTGGGCGCCATTTGGTCCGTGAGCGGTGTCCAGAGTTTTATTACTGTGACTAAATAGTCAACAGATGACAGAACAATCATCATAATGATGCATCTGTATTGAGAGTCTATTTCAAGATTCAGACTTGATCCGTGCATACAACCCAAACATTTATGTGCTCCACGATACATATGAAAAACCGCCCTTTTGGTGTACAAGACGTAACGAAGGATAACGTTGTCGTGAGATAACAACGGCAAAAATCAAAAAGTTCATCCCTTGGACAGTGCTCTAAAACAAAAAGTTCATCCTTTGGACAGTGCTCTAAAACAAAAAGTTCACCCCTTGGACCGTGCTCTAAAACAAAAAGTTCATCCCTTGGACAGTGCTCTAAAACAAAAAGTTCACCCCTTGCACAGTGCTCTAAAACAAAAACTTCATCCCTTGCACAGTGCTCTAAAACAAAAAGTTCATCCCTTGCACAGTGCTCTAAAACCAAAAGTTCACCCCTTGGACAGTGCTCTAAAACAAAAAGTTCATCCTTTGCACAGTGCTCTAAAACAAAAAATTCATCCCTTGCACAGTGCTCTAAAACAAAAACTTCATCCCTTGCACAGTGCTCTAAATCAAAAAGTTCATCCCCAGCACAGTGCTCTAAAACAAAAAGTTCATCCCCAGCAGAGTGCTCTAAAACAAAAAGTTCATCCCTTGCACAGTGCTCTAAAACAAAAAGTTCACCCCTTGCACAGTGCTCTAAAACAAAAAGTTCATCCCTTGCACAGTGCTCTAAAACAAAAATTTCATCCCTTGCACAGTGCTCTAAAACAAAAAGTTCATCCCTTGGACAGCGCTCTAAAACAAAAAGTGCATCCCTTGCACAGTGCTCTAAAACAAAAGTTCATCCCTTGCACAGTGCTCTAAAACAAAAACTTCATCCCTTGCTCAGTGCTCTAAAACAAAAAGTTTACCCCTTGCACAGTGCTCTAAAACAAAAAGTTCATCCCTTGGACAGTGCTCTAAAACAAAAAGTTCATCCCTTGGACAGTGCTCTAAAACAAAAAGTTCATCCCTTGCACAGTGCTCTAAAACAAAAAGTTCACCCCTTGGACAGTGCTCTAAAACAAAAAGTTCATCCCTTGCACAGTGCTCTAAAACAAAAAGTTCATCCCTTGCACAGTGCTCTAAATCAAAAAGTTCATCCCCAGCACAGTGCTCTAAAACAAAAAGTTCATCCCCAGCAGAGTGCTCTAAAACAAAAAGTTCATCCCTTGCACAGTGCTCTAAAACAAAAAGTTCATCCCTTGGACAGTGCTCTAAAACAAAAAGTTCACCCCTTGCACAGTGCTCTAAAACAAAAAGTTCATCCCTTGGACAGTGCTCTAAAACAAAAAGTTCATCCCTTGCACAGTGCTCTAAAACAAAAAGTTCATCCCTTGGACAGTGCTCTAAAACAAAAAGTTCATCCCTTGCACAGTGCTCTAAAACAAAAAGTTCATCCCTTGCACAGTGCTCTAAAACAAAAAGTTCATCCCTTGCACTGTGCTCTAAAACAAAAAGTTCATCCCTTGGACAGTGCTCTAAAACAAAAAGTTCATCCCTTGCACAGTGCTCTAAAACAAAAAGTTCACCCCTTGCACAGTGCTCTAAAAAAAAACATGTTCCTGTTAAAAAATTTACGAACTAGTGACTAACTAGAGTTCACATTTGTTAAATCATAAATTTATTAAGTTTTTATTAGTTCAAACGTATGGCGAGTAAAGAAAAATACAGCAACGGCGAGAAAACAAGACCAACATCCGAGCAATTGTCTTTAGAACTCTTGTACCAAGCTCTGTTAAACAAGAGAAATGGGTTTCAGCTCACAAACATAGGGCTTTTTGAAGCTACAGCTTCTGTCATCCAAGCCTGCACTGGGGGTATACGACACGCAGTCTTCATCATCGTAATTGTTAGGCTCACCTGAAAAGACAAATTTTGACGCTAAACGTCAATAGCGTATTTAAAATAATACAATATAGCGATATATATATATATATATATATATATATATATATATATATATATATATATATATATATATATATATATATATATAAATATAGGAAGAGCACACGTGTGTACTCCACACACCACNTTTGATATAAAAAAAAAAAAAAAATATATATATATATATATATATATATATATATATATATATATATATATATATATATATATATATATGTATGTATATATGTCAGGCCACAACAAGAGGAGGGAGAAGAAGAGGAAGACAGAGAAAAAGATGGGAAGATAACGTCCAAAGAGTGGACGGGACTAAAACTAGGCGATGCAGTGCGAAGTGCAGAAGACAGAAACGAATGGAGCAGGATGGTTCACAATTCATCTGTGGCGACCTAACGGTCCAAAGACTAAGGGACGTGATGATGATGATATATATATATATATGTAGATATATAAAAAGGTAATTTTTGGATTAGTGTTTGTGGATTTGAGTGATGCCTGCTTTTTTTATGGTTATAGATTAAAAACTGGTGGACCTAGACTGCTGAAATTTTGCAATGACGATCTCTATAATGATAGGAGAAGAATATGTTAGGTCAATTTATTTTTCCGACTTCAAGTTGGAGCACGTTGGAAACAATTTGTGATGTTGTTTTTTTTTTTTAATAAGCTATACTAATAAAATTAGATTCCATGATTTTGCCTTGTGACAAAGTCGATCATAAAATCTTACATTGAACGATCATTGCTGCGCAAAAATTTACGTTTTTTCTTGTGGGCAAGTTAGTTTAGCTCATTATAATCGAGCCTTATTTTGAGAGCTAATTTACTATGATGTCTTAACGTTGCAAATAGTATCATTATTGAGCTAGTCATCCGTTAACTGGTTTGGGCAACTATTTTTTTCCAAAACAGCCAAAGTTTTGGCAAATGAAAAAGTAAAAATTGCCACACTTTACATCAACTATAAAACACTAATACTAAATAAGACTAAATGAATAAATACGATATTTTATTTTAAGCAGATTCACAGAGCGATGTTTTATCCCAACATTGAAAATAATTTTGAAATTTCAATGTCCAAGATTCTTTTCAGTCAGAAAATAGTTTACACATTTTTAACTTTCATCTGTTTTAACCTCAGTAAGCCATAAGCAGTATCTCATTCAGCCATAAGCAGTGTCTCTGTCAGCCATAAGCAGTATCTCAGTCAGCCATAAGCAGTATCTCAGACAGCCATAAGTAGTATCTCAGTCAGCCATAAGCAGTATCTCAGTCTGCCATAAGCAGTATCTCAGTCAGCCATAAGTAGTATCTCATTCATCCATAAGCAGTATCTCAGTCAGCCATATACAGTATCTTATTCAACCGTCTTATTCTCTTCGTTCTTTTATTAACAGTAATGTAATACTTAAAACCTACGGACACCACATCATTCTTATAACCTTTAACACTGAAGCCCACCAACCAAATTACAGCTTAAAATGTTACATATGTTATTTATGTAAAGAATTATAAAGGGGCCCCCATTACAAGATAACTTTGTTCACGTATTGTCCCGGCCTTTTTACAGGTGATCTCAAACTTTCAACAACATAAAATTTCCTTGAATATTTATTTAATCCGTTTTCATAGCGGCAACTCATTTTTTGATTTACAGCTTTGGAATATAATTTAACAATTTAATCCTTTAAAGATTACTTCAATGTGGATAAGAAGAAACTGCAAAGGTGCAGCATTCACGTGATAATTTAAATGACATCTTTTGGACTTGATCCAAACCGGGACCACTCAAATGATTTACAATCCAAATAGTTAATCAGGAATAAAGGATTTTGATGAAGTGAAAAAATAAATGGCAATTTGTGGACAAATGGCAAAGGTGTAGAAATACAACTTTAAACTATGGAGCCCCTAAACCGATTTCAACATTTTAAATATTCCCTTGATTTATTATTTACAGGATTTAGATATGGCACTTCTTCGAAAGATAAAGAATAATTTGTGAAGTAGTGCGTTCAAGCGTTCTGAAAGCAATTTTAGAACAAGATAACTTGATAACAGGCGTGTGCCACTTCATTTTGCGGCTGGGTCCAATGATGAATAATCCAAAAAGGTGATACCCCCCAGATTTGGTAAAAGATTAGCATGACACAACCATTAAAGTTTATCATTTCCCCCTTCAAATGATAACCGTTGCACTATATGGAATAGACCTTTCATCGAATAGCTTTTATTATCAAGTAACTTTGAAAATGTATCCAAAAAAATTATTTCATAAGTCTCCCTTCCAGCAATAAAATATAGGACACCTTGTGGACCGGGCTGTTATGTTAGACTCGATTTAAAAGTAACCCCAGGCAAAGCGGAGTACAAATTAGTAAATAATTAAAACATAAGGCACATTTATTATCATTATTTGAATTTGGAAAACGCACTGCATGAAATTTAGGAGAAAAATAACTTTTATGACTTTAAATATCAAATAGTTATAATGGCGTTTTAACAAAATAACTTTAAATGGATGACGTTTCAGTGACGAGAATAATGAAAAGATCACTAATTCCTTAAAATGTTATAGCTACCTGTGACCTTACTTTTACATTTAATATATTTTGATGTAAAGTTTTACCTTTTGTGAACATCTTAATTTTCATGTCGGCATCAAGAGGGGTTCCATCGTCAGCCCATTCAAATCGTCCCTCGGTCTTCAAATCATCCAGACCGATCCAAACGCTCTCATTGATAGCAATGACCTCGTTGTGAAGAATAGATTTTTTTTCGAATGATTTCATTGTGTAGAGTTCAGCCCCGATATCTTGTGAAACAAAAATTCATATCAGATTGTTTGGTGCCCACTATGAGTAACGAAGATAAAACTAAAAATGTTTACGGTTGCGGTGTTTACATCCCTTCCCGAAATCCATCAGCTCTCTTGAACCTCCAAACACACATACTTCTATCGATGGCCTCTAACGTTCAGTGAAAGCAAGGGTCCATTTCATTTACTTTGCACACCATCTTCCCAGACACCATCCTATAATCCAAAACGTATCACTCTTCATTCCAACCTGTCCTTAATCTAATGGAATTTCCCTACGCTAAACTAATGGATCATTAAATACCAAATACAAGATACAAGTAACTCAGAATAGTTTCGAAAATCTAAAAAGAGGATAAGAGAGGCAAGGGTCACCGTAAACTGAGAAGACATTGTAGTTAGTCAGAAAACAGTTTGAGCACCCCTAATTTCTAGATAGGCATTATATGACATACTCTACATTCAATGACAAGGTAATATTCTATGACAAAGTAACATTCTATGAAAATGTAATCACATATGACGGATTAAGTTCAAACATGACTTTATCCAAAAGTTTGACTTTATCCTGAACTGTTTAGTAGCATTATATGACTGATTAACTACAAACATGATGCTTATCAAAATGTTTTCATTTACTCCGATTTTTATTACATCAGTCCTAATGCGCCTTCATCTAAAATTTTCATGTACTCTTGTTACTATTCCTGGTCTGTAACTATCGACAGAAACATAAAAGTACTTTTTTTTATTTGATTGTATACATTGTATTGTTTTGAGATCTGAAACTTAATAGGGAAATCATTCCCGGATAAGCTAACACACACAATAGCCTTACCTTTGCAGTGAGATCTAGCCGAAGTGTAGTTTACTTTATTTTTGAAAACCCGCAGACAAGCAGCAAAGCCATTTTCTGTTTTAACTGTAAAGTTTTTGCCGCAAAACGCTCCTTTGGTGTATAAGTCTCCGCTGTGAATATCACGTGATTGGTGGCTTGGTATAAGCCATGAACCTGTAAAAGAAAATTGAATTGAAATCTTTACATTTCTTGTCCCCCGAAACCATTTTTCCCCCCTTGCAACATAGACATGTTTAGACGTTTAGATCTTTGAATGCTTACGATGTAGTGGTGGCTAGTTACAGAACTCCAAATCTGTTTAGTTTAAGAAAAGTTGCCTAGACACATTGAAAATATATATTTTTTTTAAAGTGTAGTGAATAATCCCGGGCACTTTGGGGAAAATCAGCAAAGAAGCGAGCTTCAGGGCACTACTCCTTACACAAAGTCTAAATTCAATAAAGAGCGCAACATAAAATCCAGAGCAGCCCGATTCATTACCTCCCCTGGAGATGTCCCATCCATTCCATGGCACCTACCTCACAAGAAAATTTCTTTCCTAGAATCGGTCTCATCAGCCTATTGTATTACATACAGAATGAACCCAGTACCAGGCGGAGGCTTAAAGTGGTCCTCCTCGATTCGAAGGACACACAATCAGTTTGTAGATAGCGTACTGATATATCTGATTTACACATGATATGCTGATAAATCTGATATTTAAATGTGATTTTTTTATAAATCTGAACTATGCCTATCTCGTTAATTATGGTCTGCAAATAAAATTAAAAAGTGATTTGTAACGTAATGGCTGGTGATAGGTGGTTTTCCTTAATATATTCGTTCTGTTAGTCCAAATTGGACGACTCGTGTCACTTCTTCAAAATGAATTTTTTTAGGTGTCTGAGATCTTATTCTAAAATTGGACTTTATTGTTCTGTTAAGTTTTTTCCCACGAAGACCATATCAGTGTTGGATGGTCCGCAGATTTTCTTCTGTTAAAAAGAGCCATCTTTAGCAATATTCCTGCATGATTTCTGAAAATCCAGTCACTCCTGATCGGTGTCATAATTATTTTAAAGGTATATGTGTTGTTTATCTAGAGCATTCTTAGTAAATACTGAAACTTTAAGTCATGTAGTCGTTATATAAAAAAAAATAATCATAAAAATACTAGATTTAAAATGCATAAAGAATTTGAAATAACAAAATGTTCCAATGATCTCTAAATAAATGAATGCATGTACATTTATTAATATGCCACCTTTCATAATCTTTATCTTATTCAATACTATTTTAATAAGTGTGGCGCTTACCTGAGATGCACCTCCTCGTCAGTTTGCTGTATATAAAACTGTAACACGATCTGTAAGTGAGCAGACAGTTTCGGGCGCACGATACTGCGTTGGGCTCCGTCCAGTTCCAGGTTAACGGCACCAAAGTAACATTTTCCATTGTGAGAGTCGTGAATACATTTGGTGGGTGACACACGCAGGCCAGGAACTTTTGAAACAACGGCACGTAACAAATCATCCATTTGATTTGCTTCATTTAGAAAACCTTCATAACGTAATTGAACGAATAATTCCTACATTGAAAGAGTGCAAATCATCACAGCAAGTTGATAGCAAAGCTCTTATAGATCGCGGCAGGCCCGTGATTTGCTAATTTCTAGATACTGTGTCCACCCCCCCCCCCCTAATTCCGCCAATTCATCACTTCTGATTAATTTCTATTAATATATTAAGCAAGACGTTACTTTTTTTCCAGAAGTTGTTCAGTCCATGGACGATATAACATAAAGTTATCTAAGGCTAAATCCTACTTAATTAAAAACGGTTTAATAAATCACCTGCTCCACAAAGAAGCAAACATAGCGTGAGTTCTATTAGGTCAATACTTATTTTACAAGTACATAATTTGACCCCAGTAACGTAGTTAGCAAAGATAGTTACTAAGGGGTGATGGTCCCTAACTAAATAATTTAAAATTTCAGTCTTATATAAGAACTTCATAATATATTATTATTTTCATTATTATAATTAATCCCAGGAATAAGATATTTAAATATATAAAGTCACACATGCATTGTTACAATATTTAAAAAAAATGTAATGTTTAGTCGATCTTCATCAATGATAAAATCAATATCAACCCATTGTTGCGATTCATTTGTTCAATAAAAGTACAGATCTGCTTAAAACTGAAATTGGTTTGTGTAGTATCGTGGTCGTCCATATTATTACTTCTGAAATAATGAAAGAGGTAAATACAAGATAAGAATTATGCCAATAATATAACGTCTTGACGTTTTTTTTTTTAAAGTGCTCTCTTTCGATTGTGCATGTCCGTGTTGCGAGGAACATTAAACATATCAATCTGTTCGATTAGATCACTCGGTTTGAAGAAATGGAAAAGTACGAATGGTGATGGTATTTTAAAATAAATTCTTTATTGGTATATATTTATATTCTTTCACTTCCTGTAATCCTACTTCCGGCAACAACAAATTAGATCTCTAAAGATTTGTTTTTTTTTTTACTGTGCTCTGTTTCTTGTCTTACTTCTACTTGTCCTGTTCTCTGAAGAAGGCTCTAAGCCGAAACATTCTCATTTTTTTGTCCTGTCTTTTGGTTCAAGCTTCAACATAACTTGTTTGACTATTTCATTGGCATATTTAGTTTAATTTCTAATGTAATGAATGTGCCCCCTCCCCTTTTTTTAAAATAACCGTTATCAATCGCTAAGAACCAAGTTTAGAAAACTCTTTTCTCAGACACATAAATAATAACGCTTTTATTGATGGTGTAATGTTCTCTCTTTCTCCCTCTGCCTCTTTATTACATCCATTGCGTATCCCTCTCTTTCATCACATTGTTATCATACTCCCTCATACTTCACAACCTCTCATTCGACATCTATAAATAATATATTTCTCTATTATTTCCACTGTCTATTCAATGCCTCTCAACTATTGACATCTCTTCTTCTCTCTCTCCCTCTCTCACTTTCATTCTCTACCTTTGTCCATATTGTTGAGATCATAGTTGTGTGCCCGGTAATAGTGTAGCTTATCATGTTCTTAATTTCGATGACCCACAAGACTCTTACATAAAATAAATGTGTATTTAATCATTCAACAGACATTTAACAAACAGATCGGTTCAGAGAAAAATGTACCATACGTCGAGATTTACTTAATGTTAAACTTTTCTTAACTTTCATTTCATCCATAGCTTGTCCAAATACTATTTTATTGTGAAGCCAGAATTCTTCGGATGATTTTCTAGATGCAGAATGTGGTAGACGACATATAATAAAAATTTGTGTTGCTACATTTTGTAAGCAACAAGTGAGAGGTTATCGGGTGAACAATTCTCAACCTGGGCGGGGCTCAAATGGTGGGTTTTTTTAGTGAGGAGGGTGCTAACCATTTTATGATTGGGTGTGAAGGGAGGAGGGTGCTAACCTCTTAATGATTTGGTGTAAAGGGAGGAGAGTGCTAACCACTTTATGATGGGGTGTAAAGGGAGGAGGGTGCTAACCACTTTATGATTGGGTGTTATGGGAGGAGGGTGCTAACCACTTTATGATTGGGTGTAAAGGGAGGAGGGTGCTAACCACTTTATGATTGGGTGTAAAGGGAGGAGGGTGCTAACCACTTTATGATTGGGTGTTATGGGAGGAGGGTGCTAACCACTTTATAATTGGGTGTGAAGTGAGGAGGGTGCTAACCTATTTATGATTGGGTGTGATGGGAGGATGGTGCTTAACACTTAATGACTTGGTGTGATGAATAAAAGAAGAGAAAGTAACAGAAAAGTTTACCGCACGAAAAAAATGCCACAAAAAGTTGACCACCAGAACAGTGAACCACCCAAGTATCTGGTGCATTTCAAATCAGATCAATGACGTGGCTAGAGTTTTTGACGAACGTAACGAGTCATGATTTGAAGGGACTACCCCCCCCCCTTTTCCACCCCAAAAAAATGATAGCATTCCCTCAAATTGTATTCAGCTACATGACTTGTTTATGTATAGAATAAAATTCATTAACCGTGCCATTGTGAAAGTGACGTAGACGAGGGGATGAAGGAGTGAGAAAGAAAAGGAACGGAGAGAGAAAGGTTAGTGAGTGCGAGAACGTGAGCAAGCCTCAAAACAAATGAAGTTGATAAATGGTTCTTTTTCTTGTTTGATGTCGACCTACATAACAATGTGTTTGTTGGAATGTACAGAAAAGCGCTATCGCCATGCTGATATATTCAATCCGCTTTGCTTTGAGATTAGCCATACAGCCAGGGGAAATGCAAATAATAACATCAAACTCAGTGCTAGGTTTTTAAAAAAAATTATATCAATCGTAAATATGGTATGAAAGAAATACATTTGGCAGATAGATACATATAGCGCGTTTGATGCAATGAAATTTTACATCAGTGATAAACCTACTATAATATTACCCTATTCGTCCGTTGGAAAAGATGTGTTTTTTGTTTCTAGAAATTATAGAAACTGTTGGCATCCGATTGGTAATATTTCATTTGAAATGATTCATCTGAAATTGTTAATGGTTGGAACAGCAGCGAGTCTTCTTTATTCCGGTTGGTAGATGGTTTGACAATGGATTAAATTGTGTTGCTTGGTATTTGCTTAATCAATTATAATGATTTAAACACAAATGTTTATTTTTTTTAGGTTACACTGCAAATATATATATATATATATATATATATATATATATATATATTGATGTGACATCTTTTCTTTTTAATCTGAAAATGTTTATTGTATTCGAGGATTGCATGCCGTTCAAGATCGGAATTCATCTTCTCAATCTTATAAATACAAATGTATATTTTTTTTAGGTTACACTGTAAATATATATATATATATATATATATATATATATATATATATATTGATGTGACATCTTTGCTTTTTAATCTGAAAATGTTCATTGTATTCGAGGATTGCATGCCGTTCAAGATCGGAATTCATCTGCTCAATCGGTTATCAAGAAGTGTTGTCATACACTCTTGTATCGCGTAGATTTTTCCGAGTTTTCCCTGGGACTTAATAGAAAGAATAAAAACGCATGAAGTCAAGATTTTTTAAGCACTTTTTAACGTACATTTATCTGTTCATTAGACGTGAGATAATACTTAGAATAAACATTTATCGGCTAGTTGTAAAACTGATGCAGTCCATCAATTAATATCTTTTATAGTTGTAAAACAAAGAAATAGCCAGAAAAATTCAGTGGTGTCTTGAAGAATTGTAGTAAAAAGTTTTAGTAGGTAAAATATATTTAAAAAATGGTAAACATTAATATTAGTTAAAAACTTCAATCCTCGTAAGTCATTGTTGACTGTTAAACTGATTGCATGTTCATCTGTTTCTTTGGTACACAACTTAGTCTTTCAAGGTTTGAAGCATCTTCGAAACAATGACGCTGACATTAGCTTGTGCCAATATATCACTATTTTAAAACTCCCTTGTCTCGGCCGAAATTTCAATAAAAGTTAAAATGCAGATCTCTTAAAATTCATACTAATCATTCCATTAAGTGATATCCACCCGAAACAAATCGTATTTTCTTAAATTTTCTCGTTTTTACTGTGAGCTAACTATATTTCTGAGTTAATTGTATTGTTGAGCTAAAGCCAATTGCGCTCTAACTGTATTTGTTAGTTAAATGTATTTACGACATAACTGTGTCAGTAGGCTAAATGTATTTGTAAGCTAACTGTATATGTGACCTAACTTTGTCTGTGAGCTAAATGCATTTACGACCTTACTATATTGTGAGATAATTGTATATTTTACCTAACTGTAGATAAATGTACATGCAATTTAACTGTATTGGTGAGCTAACGATCATTGTGATCTAACTGTATTTTTCACCTAACGGTAGCAGTGAAATCAATATATTTTTGACCCAACTGAACTTGTAAGCTGACACTACTTATTCATGTGTTTCTAGCTGCTTCAGTCGGTCCATCGAATATAAGAGAAACTGTGTTCAAGAAATCATTGGATCTTAAGATGGACATGACGAAACTGTCAAATGGGTGGAAGGTACTTAGCCTTCTGTCGTGTGTCAGCACGTGCCTACGTAACTACAGTTCATGTCTCAGTGTCAAGTTTAACAAAAGCTCAAATCATTGCACTCCTGGTAGGTTATGCCGCTGAACATTTACTGGTTTGTAAAATGCATTGCAGGGCCTACATAGTGTGGCACATAATACAGTGTACTGTCACGATGTGCATGCTAAATGTCCCATTTTAAATTCACTCCAAATCCCTTATCAATTGACATACATTTATTTGGAAGATAAATATATCCCAAACGAGGTTAAACAATAAAAGTAAACGTATCTATAACAACCAATCACAAATAACTGATATTATCACTCTTCAAGATAAAAAGTCTTAATAGAGTCCTTCAAATCCAACTCCACAAATGAAAAGAGTGTGGAAAAAATACCAAAACGGTTATAACATGGCAGAGTGTTTTACTTGTAATAATGTTTGTTGACTTTTTCTAACACTGTATTTCTAATAAAGGAAGTTGGGTGTTTCAA